GAAGGGTAATCAGGCTCCAATGAGTTACCTCCCTCAAAAGTTAGAAGCATTTGGGTATCCCCACAGGCTGCACCTACCATACAGACATATAAGACACCTGACCTTCCCCCATCACTCCCCTTCTAGGGTAAACTCAAGATTTCCCCAACATTCACCCCTTCCGTTACCTTACTTTCTGCCCACTTCAATCTAGTTTCTGCTTCTTCCAATGTAAAATGGTTTTGCTGAGGTCAAAGACTCCATCTTGCTAAATTCAACCAATCATTTTCAATCTACATCTGATAATTCTTCCCTTTTCTAATATGGCTTTTATGACACATCTTATTTTGGAATTAGATTCTAAAGTAAATACCTAAGACAAAAATCAAGCATAGTTTAAATTACTCTTGAAATCCTTTAAATAGCCCACTGAATAAAGCATAGCTGTTTTTTTGTATACGTAACTCTAGGCACTAATGAACAGTACATATATACACACACAGGTATATGCAAAACAAAAAGTATACATGCAAAATGAACACCGTTCTCTCTTGTCTAATTAAAAACATCTTCAAGTATATTGGGCTAAGTTTGCATACCTCAGTTGCAAGCGAGATCCCACTCCACTGTACCTCTCTGGCCACTTCTCATCCCTTATCCTGGAGCTATCCTCCTTTACTCAACTTTGAAACACTGGGCCTGAGCTCTATTCTCTTCTTAGTCCCTGTCAATGGTTCTCAACTTCCATTGCTCAGTGGAATCACCTGAGGTTTTTAAAAATCCTAGGCTACAATTCAGATCAGGTAAACAAACAGATTTCTGGTGTGGCTATCAGCAACAGTACTTTTAAATTATCCAATATTTTCAATGTGCAGCCAAGATGAGAATTACTGTTGTATACTCTCTTCCTAGAGCAGAGACTATACCCTCAAATGCCTACAGGGTCAGAGAAGTAAATAAACAAAGCAGGCCAGGCATAAATTCTAGAAGTGGTGGACTCTCTGGTGAACTAGAAAGCAGCTGGGATAAATGGTGACTCAGGTCCAATCAATTACTGCCAGCTCAGTAGTGCTATATCTTACTTTTAAAGAAAAGCCCCAAATCTAAATTTTCATGGGAAATCTTGAGGTTTTAAATTATTGGCAACTAACTCAAAATTAAACAACAAAAAACACTCTATGGGAAAACCAAAACATCTGTAAGCCAGATTCAGCTGTGGGCTATGGATTCCCAACCTCTGCTCTGGGCAATTCCATCCATACCCTTCAATTCACACCTAAATACGTGTCCCCAATTCAGCCCACTCCTCTGGGCTCTGGATTTGAATTATCAAAAGCTTATGTGCAATCTCCACTTAGAGGTCTCACCACTCCCAAAGTGAACTGTGATTTAAACTCACTTCAAAACTATTAATCCTTCTAGTGGTCTCTACCTCAGATAATAGCCCTACCATTCACCTGGTTGGTCAGCCTGGGAGTCATCCTACTCACTTATTTCTCCCTCAATCATGAAGCCTTATTAACTATGCCTTTTTTTTTTTTTTAGATTTTATTTATTTATTCATGAGAAACCCAGAGAGAGAGGCAGAGGCATAGGGAGAAGCAGGCTCCTTGCAAGGAGCCAATGTGGGACTCAATCCCAGGAACTCAGGATCATGACCTGAGTCAAAGGCAGATGCTCAACCACTGAGCCACCCAGACATCCCTCAATTATTCCTCTAAAACATATCTCCTATATATATCTCCATCTCCCCTGCTACCGTCATGGTCCCAGCTACCATTTGTTCTCTTCTACCTCTCCCACTGTGTATTAGTTGGCTCAGGCTGCTATAATAAAATACTATAGCCTGGATTGCTTAAGCAACAGAAATTCATTTTCTCACAATTCTGGAGGACAGAAGTCACAGATCAAGGTCTGGCAAGATCAGTTTCTCCTCCTGGCTTGCAGATAGCCACCTTCTCACTATGTGCTCACATGGCCTTTCCTACCTCCTCTACTTATAAGGCCACCAATTCTATTGAGTTGGGGCCCCACTCTTTTGACCCTGTTTAACCTTAATTACCTACAAAAGATTCTATCTCCAAATTTAGTCACAGAGGGGTAAGGGCTTCAAAATTGAATTGTAGGGTAACAAACTGTATTCTACAGCATTTGTTACCTTAATTAGGGTAAGCTGTTTCCCACAAGCACTTATTACTTTCTATACCATTCCCTCCAACGTGACCAGAGTGATCTTTCACACACAAATATTTGTGTGTATGTACATATTTGCCCCTAAATTCCACTTCTGAGAATTTATCCTACAGTTATATTCACACATGTGAACTGGCATATGGCTGTACTATTCATTATAGTACACTATTAGAAACAATTAAATGTCCACCAATAAAGGAATGGTTCAATAATCTGTGGTATATCCATACAATGGAATACTATACAGTCATTCAAAAGAATAAGGAAGCTATGTATTGAAATGAAAGATTTCAAAGACATTGCTGTGAACAAGAATAATATGTACAGTGTACTACCATTTCTGTAAACAACAGGAGAAATAAGAATATGCATTTGCTTGAATGCAAACAAAAAAATGTTGAGGACGATAAATCTAGTACTAGTGCTTATCCCTTTGGAAAGCGTGGGGAAAACGGCAGCTGGGGAAGGAAGTAGGATCCACTGGAGACATTCTGATTTAATGGACCAGGCAATAGTACTGCTGTAAGTTCCTCCTGTGATTTGGATGAACAGGCTGGACCAAGAACTGTTACTCGAAGAAAACTTTTACCAATTTTTCCAGAGTCACTCTCCATGTTCCAGCCACATTGGCCTGAGTTCTCAGAAAAGATCCTATTCCTTCTGCCTGAAATATTGTCCCCCTAGGGTTCACTTTATAATTTCTATTTATCCTTCAATGTCCACCTTACCTTAAAGGTCATTTTCCAAGGAAACTTTCCCTTGTTGCCAAACTAGGTCAGGACCCTTGTTTTATGTACTCAGAGTACCCTGCACTTCTCCCAGAATTTATCACAACTGTAATGAGGTATTTTTATCATTATACATGTGTGCATCTATCACTCTGCTCTGCCCTCAAACTTATGATAGCAGAGAAAATCAACACATAAGCAAATGAAGACAATGCTGGGTCACTGGTGTTAAGGCAACAATCTATTTAGAACAGTGGTTCTCAACTGGGGAGTGATTTTGGCTCTTTCAGAGGACCTCTGGCAATACCTGAAGGCATTTTTGATTGTCACAACTGTGTGGGTTATGTGACTGTTATAATTGTGTGTAGGGGGGCTGGTACTACTGGTATCTATTTAGTAGAGGTCAGGAATGCTGCTAAACATCCTATAATGACCAGGATAGCCCTCCACAACAAAGAATTATCTGGTCCAAAATGTCAACAGTACCATGGAGGAAAACCCCTAATTTAGAGGATGGTAATACCCAAAAGGGTGATCAACTCTACTGCAGGTGGTAGGGTTTTCTGGGGCTGAGGGGTGGGGGAAAGATGTTTAAAAAAGCTTTAACTGTGTATTGAAAGGTGACGGGAGAAATCAGTGGAGACTATCTATGTTTGCCAAAGCTAATGAGCCTATGAAGAGTTTAAAAGCAAAGTTACAGTTTGAACAGGTGCCCCCTCAAGTACTCCATACTCCAAAATTACTCATCTCCTTTATGTCCTTCTTGCTGAAACAAAACTTTCATTCTCTTAGGGCAGCGAATTTCAGTTAAACATTAAGGTCAAATTAATTCAGACTAAGATAAAGTCAGATAACCCTTTCAGTGTCCAGAATGTCAACTACATTTTAAAATATGCAAATACTTAAGAATACAAATCAATCTTTAACTGATCAATGTTCAGGTTGTTAGTGAATGTAACTATTTTTGAATTCAACAGTCAGGCTGGTCCTGATAAAGACTTCTTCAAAGCTTCCTATTTAAAAAAAAAAAAAAAACACAAAAAAAAAACAACTTTACTTTGTTTCCCCTGTCCTCAATTTCCAAACTCCCAGATTTATATAAGATCCAAGTTTTTCCCCCCGCGGCATCTCACCTTCTGTCAAGAGAGGCCAGGAGAGCCATTTGGAGGCAATAAATGTGAACAGATTTTATGTATAAATTAGGAGTGGTCTATAGATTTTTTTAAATTTTTTTTATTTATTTATGATAGGCACACAGTGAGAGAGAGAGAGGCAGAGACACAGGCAGAGGGAGAAGCAGGCTCCATGCACCGGGAGCCCGACGTGGGATTCGATCCCGGGTCTCCAGGATCGCGCCCTGGGCCAAAGGCAGGCGCCAAATCGCTGCGCCACCCAGGGATCCCTGGTCTATAGATTTTTAAAAGGCTTTCACTAAAAGCCACAGATTCAGAAGCCATTCTGAAAGGAATGTGATGGAGATCATTTTAATGGTATCACCACGAAACAAAACAGTGTTTTACTACAACACTAGCCTGCTGCCTACTGAGCAGGATGCACATGCTCTGACCTAGTATGGCAATTCTTAGGGTCTCAGCATCGGGTGCTGTTTACAAGAAACTGAGGCCTGACACTAATAAAGAACAAAGAAAAATGCCTGGCACCAAAGGTTTGGGGGATGCTTCATAACGTAAATGATTTAAGAAGGAACACTTCAGATTTTGGAAGGCACCACAAATCACCACTCTTTTTTTTTTTTTTTTTTTTTTGCTTACGTGTTAAGAATTCTTATTTCGTGCTTGCAGACCATTTCCTAATAAGAAAATACATCATCATTCACAAACAGCAATTTATCCTCCCTTACATTCGCTGACCGCTACATCCTTACGCTTTACCAGAGTTGGGGGATTGGGAATAACGTGAGCATAACAAGAGTGCGGATGCAACATCAACTCCAAGCCGGGCCAGCTGGTTTCCATCGAGGGGTCCCCCGGGAGAAAGCCCCTGGGAGGCGGCGGCCAGGGTCGGCGCGGGAGACACCCACTGGGGTGGCGCGAGGGCGGCCCGCGGGGCAGAGCCAGGGTGTGCCCGGCCTCCGTTTACCTTTGTTTCAGGTACTCCTGCTTTCAGCCAGGCCGAGGATCCCGCCCGAGGCCCCGAGCTGGTGACACATCCTTCTTTGGCCAAGTCGGGCTGAGGCTGGGCAGGGGGCGGGGAAGGAAAATAAAGCCTCAGCGCCTAACGACGTGACTCTCAGTTCTTCCAAAACGTTGGCATTTGTGTTTCTGCCAAGCTTTCCTGTTAACAAGTTCCCGAGGGCTGTGCGGGCGAGCTGGCCTGGGAGCCCCGAAAGTGGGAGGGACAAGGCCGTCCCCCGCCTTCCCTGCTCCGTGGGTGCCCTCTGGGCCGGCCGTTCCCACATCTCCCGGGCTGCCACGGCCTGGGACCGAGCCGGGCGTGCACCGGCGCCCGCGCCGCCCCAAAGCCCGACTGCCACAGCCCTGCCCGCCGGCCCGGAGCCGCGCGGCCGCTCCGACCCGCCGGCCAGGCCGGTCCCCGCCCCCAGGCCCCGGCCCCGCCCGCTCGGGCCTCCGCGCGCCGCCCCCCGGCTCGCCACCACCCTCGGGCAGGGGGCCGGGGCCACCGGGGCTCCGGGCCGCGCGGCGGGCGTCCCCGCGCCTACCTCAGCGCCCGCGGCTCCTCCTCCGGCGGCTGCCTCAGCTCGCGGACGGCGCTCGCCTCCCGGACTCGCAGCGGCGCGGGCTCCGGGCTGCGAGCGCGGCGTGTGAGGAGCCGAGGCCCGAGCGCGCCCCGCCCAGCCGCCCGCCCGTCAGTCACCCCCGCCCCCTGGCGCCCGCCCGCCAGGCCCCGCCCCGCCCCGCCCGCCCGCCCGCCAGGCCCCGCCCCGCCCGCCAGGCCCCGCCCACCCCGCCGGCCCGAGCCGGGAAGGGGGCCGCCAAGGGGCGCCGCGAGAGCCGCAGGGTCTGCCTCCCGCGGGGGTCTTCGATACCCGGGGGGGGGGGCCCCCGTAGGGACGTGATTCGTGGTGCTTGCTGCGAAGTCTCTTCGCTCGGATTTGTTATTCCTGCGACTTTCCTGCCGTTATCATTTTGTGATCGTTGTTATTGTCCCCGTCATTGGTTCTTTCACCCTCCCGGAGCCCGCAGCAGGATTCGGTGGAGGCGGGAGCTGGCGGACACGCAGCCCCTTCCTGCAGACCCGACTCTCCTGGTCGCTCGGGATCCCAGGGGCCCGCACCTGTGCCACCCTGCCTTGTGAAGTCGACAAGTTGGGTGAGTTTGGAAGGACGGGAAGATTTATTTGTAACTGTTACTGTGAAATCCAAGACACGTACAGAAAGCCATACAGACCCAAAGCACAGCTTGATGAATTACTGTGACACACACCCTTATAACCAACCACTCCCCAGACTTAACACCATGGAATGTGGGTAAAAACAGAAAAGTTCATCCATAGCAGGGAAGACACGGCCTCCCCAAACTGCCCTCCTGCTACCTGCCACAGGAAATATCAAAGACCACCTGCCCATAATCATGCCCTCTCCAAGAATAAATGGAAATTGTCCCCAGAATTAGGAATCTCCGATTAGGGTGTATTTGTAAAATCCTTAATTAAAAATAATTCATCCATAAATACATAAGCATACAAACAACTCAATAAATAAGTCAACCAGGAGACTGAGCAGTAAGAGTAAGGAACAGCTAGGAGCCAAGGATTAGGTTTTCTGTGAGGAAAGATCCTAGGCACCTGGGCCGTCCTCCCTCTGTGTCACCAGCACCTAGCACAACACCAGGCATGGAATAGGTGCCGTGTGTATATTTATATTGCAAGGAAACAGATTTTGCTTACTGAAATTTCCATCTATTTTTACCAATTTTTCGAGGAGCTAAGCTGATGTGCTCTGTGAGATGTCTCAATGCCTTGGGAAGAAGCCATAATGCTTTAAACTTTATATTGCTTTCCAGTTTAAAGAAATAAACCCTTTTAAATGCATTATGGTGTCATATTTGAGACTTAGAGCAGTACTGCGAGAAAGGCAGGGCAGGACAGAAGGACTTTGCAAAGGTCACAGTGCAATGCATACCTGTAAGAAGAGGAAGTACATAGTGAACTATATAAAACAGTTTCAGTACTGCTGACCCTGCCAGTCTCTGCTGGATTCCTGGTTTGTCTTGACAGTTTTATTGCCTCCATTTTTACATAAGGACTCCTTTTGGTTCCTTTGCCATACATTTATATGCAGTATGACTGGAATTTGTAAAGGACAGAGCACCTAACTGGAAATTTGATTTAATAGGATAGAGTCAGCCTCTGCCATGGGCACCTTGGGTGAACTGGAACTAGAGAGTTGATGATTTGCTACCATCTATTGAGCACTCTGGCTCTGTGGTTGTTGGTGGGAACGCAAAGAATAGAAAATTAATAGGACAATATTTGCTCTCAAGGGTTTATAGCCAATTAGGGAGAAAGATTTGGAAATAAATGAGGGTTTAATTTATTTGGATGGTAGGGGAACAGTCCTGAGCACAATTCATTTTATTAGGAGTAGGGAGAAGATAGGGCAAGTCTTCTCAGACAACAGAACATCTGATTTTTTTTAATTGTGGAAAAATATAAAATATTACAAAAGTGAAGATAATAATATAATGAACTAGTATGTATTCATTGCTCAGTTTCGATAGTTATCATCCCTTGGCCAGTTTGTTGTATCTGAACCTCACCTTGTCTTTCCCTCCTTGGATTATTTTGAAGCAAATCATAAGCAGCATATATTTTACTCATAAATACTTTACTATGTATCTCTAAACAATATACTCTATTTTTTATGACAACCACCAAACCATTATAATATCTTTAAAAATTAACAATTTCTTAACATCTAGTCATTGTTCAAATTTTCCCAATATTCTTTTTTCCCCCCAATTTTCTTATAAATGTTTTATATAGTTTATTTCTTCAAGTCAGGATTCAGACAGGGTCCTCACATTGCATTTGGTTAAAATCTCTTAAACTCTTTTCTTTTGTTGCACTTCGTATGTTGAAGAAAGTGATTGCTTGTCCTATGGAGTTCCCCTACGTTCTGCACTTTGCTGATTGCACCCCTGTGGTATTAACATGGTTCTCTACCCTACCCTTTTCTTCTCTTAAACTGATAATAGAACTAGATATTTGATCATATTTAATAAAATACAAACCATAATAAAAAGTTAATTGTTCAAAATCAGACGCAGAACTGTCATAGATGTTAGAATTGGCAGACAAGGACATGAAAACAGTTACTGTAACTGTATTCCAAATATTCAAAAACTTAAAAGAGACATGAGAAATATAATAAAATAGGAGCCAAATTGTAATTCTAGAGATGCAGGCCAGAATGTCTGAATAAAAATGCACTGGATAGGATTAATGGCAAATTAGACATTGCAAAGAAAAGATTAGTAAACTTAAGTCATAGTGATAGAAATTAACCAAAATGAAACATATGTAAGGGAATAAAGATTTAAAAGAATTGGAAAAGAGCATCAGTGAGCTGTGGAACAATTTCAAGTGGTCTAATATATATATGTAAATGGAATCTCCAAAGGAGAGAGAGGGGGACAAAAAATATTTGTATAAATCATGACTAAAAATTTCCAAAAATTTTTTAAGTTTGTGTGTGTAGTTTTCTTTTTTTTAAAACATTTGACTTATTTATTTGACACGGAGAGAAAGCACAAGCAGAGGTAGAGGGAGAGGGAGAAGCAGGCTCCCCACTGAGCAGGGAGCCCAATGTGGGGCTTGATCCCAGGACCCTAGGATCGTGACCTGAGCCAAAGGCAGTCGCTTAACCAATTGAGCTACCGCGGTGCCCCTTAGTTTATGTTCACATCAGGAAAAGTGCACTCCTAAATCCCTATCACCCATCCCCCCACCAAAACATTTCCAAAATTTATGAAAACTATAGACTCATAGATCTAAGAGTTTCAACATATCCTAAACAGAAGAAACATAAAGAAAACCACATGAAGTTATGTCATAATTAAACTGCTCAACATCAGCAATAAAAAGTAAAAAAGACATGTTATATACAGAGGAACAAAGAAAGAATGACAACAAATCTCTTGTTAGAAACAGTGTAAACAAGAAGATAGTAGAGCAGCATTTTTAAAGTAGCAGAAAAAAAACTTATCAATTTAGAATTCTAGTCTTATCTAGATTATTTCTTAAAAGAAGGCAAAATATAGACTTTTTGCAGATATACAAAAGCTAAAAGAATTCATCATAGCAGACCTGCACTAAAATAAATGCTAAAGAAAGTCCTCCATGCATAACGAAAATGATAGCAGATGGAATTATGGATATACAGAAAAGAAGAAAAAACCAAAAAAAGTAAATAGTAATTGCATGTATAAATATATAAAAAATTAAAATTATTTATTACTTTAAAGAGATTGAAATATCTTTAAAAGATAATGACTATTTAGACAAAAATAACAACAATGTATTATGGGTATGATTCCCAGATGAAAATACAGGATGCCCAGTCAAATTTGTATTTCAGATAAATGTTATTACTTTTTTAGTATAAGTATCTAAATATTGCATGAACACACTTATTTTATGAAGTTATTCATTATTTATCTGAAACATAGATTTAACTGGGTGTCCTGTCTTTTTCTTTGCTAGATCTGGCAGTCCTAATTTTGAGGTTTATAATATAAACAAGTAAAATACATGACAAAAAAAAAAGCAAAAAAAGCCAGAAATAAAGTACAGTGCTATAAGTCACTTATACTATATTTATAGTTGAAGTGGTATAATTTCACTTGAAGGTAGATTTTGGTAAGTTAAAGATGTATAGTATCAACCCTAAAGTAACTACTAAAATAACAAGACAACAATAGAACAACAAAGGAGTTAATATGTAAAGAAAAAAATCAACTAATCTAAAAGAAGATGGAAAAAACCACAGAGAAGAGATTAGAAATACAAAAAATAATTAAGATAATAGACTTAAACCAGACCATAGCAATAATCACAGTAAATATAAATGGACTAAATACCTCCAATTAAAAGGCAGAAACTGGGTTAAAAAGAAGATACAAGATGTTGTTTATGAGGAATGCACTTTAAATGCAAAGACACAAATAGGTTGAAAACAAAAGAATAGAAAGAGATTATGCAAACAAAAGAAAACTCGTCAAAAGAAAATACTTCAGATAAAGAATATTACAGGGAGTAAAAAGCCATATTATAAAGGGGTCAATTCAATAAGAGGACATAACAGTTGTAAATCTTTGTGCATTTAATAATCCATCAAGGAAAAATAGATAGGAGCAAGGAAAAATGGACAAATCTATAATCAATAGTTGTAGATTTCTATATCTTTCTCTCAGTAATTGATAGGACAAATTGACAGAAAATTAGCAAAGATAGAGAAGACTTGTATAACACTATCAAGCAACTTACTTAATTGACATTTGTAGGACACTCCTTCCAATAACAGAATTCACATACTTTTCAGTTTTGTGCAAAATATTTATCAAGATAGGCCAGATTTTGTGCCCTAAAACAAATGTCAATAAATTTAAAGAATTCAAGTAATACAAAGTATGGTCTCTGACCACAATGGAATTATATTAAAAACCAATAACATGTCTATAATTCAATGTATTCTCTTCTCCTTCCCCTAACTCCCCAACCTGTTCCTCCTCCTTCCTTCTTATCTTAGGTCAAGATCCCATTATCCCCTCAGTTACTTAGGCCAAAATTTCTTAACACTTCTTGCTCCCTCATCT